ATTTTAAGCATCCTTTTGATGTGCCACAAGCCCTTAACAAGAACAATCAAATAAACACACTGGGTTTAAGGCAGAAATGCTAACAGGAGTCCCAGGACTCTGGATCCCTTCGGCTTGGTGGATTGTACCTCCAGAAATATGTCACATGTAACTTGAAAAATAGGTGAAGGGGGCCAGGTAGCTCAGAGAAATGCCCTGGAGGGTCAACTTTAGCCTCGACTGGATCTAGCCACAGTCTGGCTCCAGCGGATACCTAGTTATTTCATCTCAAACATTTTCCAAAACAGCCCTGGTTTCCTGGGGCAGATGGCTGTAGTGATGCATTTGTTTATCTGGGGCGAGAAGAAGCTTGTGGAGAGGGCTATGTTGTTCCTACCCTGGCAAGTGCCTTTGGGACGCCAGCACACCTTCCCTAGGGGCTGGGCCAGCAGGGGCTCTCAGGAATGCCTACTCTGAGATAAGAGGTAGGTAGGCAGCCCTGCCCACAGTGGAGCAGGGAAGAGAACACATTTACTCCTGTGTCACCTTAGGTATGCCCAGGGCCCTCAAAGTCAGCCTGGCAGGCTGCCAGGGCTGGGCAGGGGAAATGACTGACAGCCTGGTTATTGGAATGCTCCCATCATTAGCCTAGGAGCTTTGTTTGGTTTCTATGGTGACCTTTACTACAAGAGCCTGACTAAAGCTGAAGGAATGTGTTACCTAAAACCATCGCCCCAAAGTGCTCATGGCTTCAAGGAAGTATACTCATCAGCGATCCATTCTCTCCACCCCATATTCCTGTCCCTCCTGGTCAGGCTTCCCAGCTGCCTCTTTCATGAGAAGGAAGGACCCGCAAAGACAACTCTAGGCCTGCTTCAAATTCTCACATTCCCCACAGGAAGCCTGTGGCCCGCCTGGCCTTGGGCCCCCTGGCCAGCTGGCACATGTGTTTCGGGCTTAGTTGGAAGCCTGTGGGATTTCGGGAAACTGCTGGGGGTATCTGGTTCCCACCATACCAGGTTCACGCTGTCCCTGACGAGGCATCGTGTCTGCCTCATCACGTTTCTGCCTTTTTGAACCTGAGCTGTACTAACCAAAGGTCCTCTCCAGTCTGCTTCCTAATCTCTGAGTCAGAAGGGTTCTCAGAAGCGGGACTCCACGAGATTGGGTTCTGCTCTGCAGGCCCAGATGGTGCCTGGTGCCCATGGGGAAATAGTAATCTCTCTACAATGAGATCCACAAAAGCTTGGTTCTGCTCTGCAAGCCTAGACGGTGCCTGGTGCCCATGGAGGAGCGGTGGCCTCTCCAGAAAGCTTTTGACCTGCTCCCCCCCGAGCTGTGTCACTACTTAACCCAGCCGCATCCCCTTCCTTCAGTCCCAGGTGTCAATGAGACTGTGGCATTTCCTCCACACTCTGACCTTAGACATAGTTATCCATCAGCCCATGACCTTCTTTAGCCTGTGTCTCACGGTACACTTCAGAAGCAGAAGAGGCAGGGCAGATGTTCCTTTTAAGGAGGCACAAGTTGATGTGGTTGGCATGGGTAAGAGTCAGAAGTTACTTACAAGGGCAGTCACCTGACTGGCTCTCACACTAGGATAAAACTCATTAAGATGGGGGTTCACTCACCTGTCAGCTTCCTCCTTTGCTTAGGCTGCTCCCAGACAGTGCCGAAGCAGGTACCCCTTACACAGGACCTGCTGGCTTTCCTCCCTGGGGGACAGTTCTTGAATCCCCTGCACTGGTAACTTTGCAGAAGGGAAAAGCCTTTAGAAGGCGAGGCCACCAGGATAATGGCTGCACAGTGCTTGGCAGGAGACAACCTATACCATGGTCCTCTAAGTATCCCTGGAGAATAGACTTTGCTAGGAACAATGAGGTCAGGCCAAGGGGGGTCGGTCTGGGTTGCTTTGCTGAGTGGTATTTACTGGACTGGTTGTCTAACTGCTAGCAACAGCTGGAGCCACACATGGCTTGTTCCCAGCTCAGGGAGCAGCTGGAGAAGCAGGGGCACACAGTCAGTCGATGAGCAATGGTATTTGTCAGTGATCCCTGGCCCATAATGGACTCAGTGACATTTCCTGCTAATCCATGGGTTTTTGTACTCCAAGGTTTCATCTGTGGGGAATAGTATTGACTTATTTGCAAAGGGATAGGGTCTCTCAATAGAGCCAGGAATATATATGTATAATTTCTTCTCCTTTAAGAAAAATTTATTTTTCTCACACTCTGATGGCCTGAATCCCACAAATTCCTGTTCTGGTTAGTTTTGTAGCCTTCTAGGGCCAGAGCAGATCACAGCGGAGCTCCTAAGTCTGAGAACTGATGGACTCATGATAAAGAATGACTTTACCTCATCTGACCCTCCCCCGAGCAGAGCAGGCTGAGTGGGGGAAGTCTCTTTGGGGTAGAATACACTTATTTCCTGCTACTCTGCAGAACACTCTGTAGCGACAAGGACCAAGAATGTGCAGGATCTCACACCCTAGAGCTCCTGCTATCCCTCAGTGCAGCATGATGTCTCTGGAGATGAGCAGATCCCATGGCATACGCTGCCCCCTGAAGGCTCTGCCTGCAGAAGCAGACACACTATTTTCTAGGCAGCTCCACACAAACATGAGGGAGGGAGTAGAAGGAAACACCAGGGAGCAGGCACAGTTAGGCTGCACAGGGGCAAACGGCACAGTCTATATCCCATCCCCACCACCTCTGCGGCCCATCTAAGAACCTGCTGAAAACTATCTCCTTACCTGCAAGTAGAGAAAGTTCTCATTCATGTATACCCATGGGGCTCCTCTTGAAGGGGTGGGGTAGATGTGGTGTGAGCTTGAATTGGCACCAAGCTCAAAGCCAAAACCTCTCTATCCTATTGTAAGGACTCTCAGGGGAATAGGGCACAGCTAGGTGAGGTGAAAGGAAGGTAGAGAGGGCACAGCTGGGTAGAGCAGTGGGGCTCACTCACGCCACAAGGGAGCCAGGGGTCTGCCCAAGCAGCCCCAGAGTAGGAAGATGGGAAGGAAGCCACTGGGAGGAAGCATCTTACTGGAGTGGCTCAGGGAACCAAAGGAATGGATCCCATTATACCCTAGTACACTTCCCACTGCTTGGGGTTCTGTCAGACTTTCAGCTAAGGCGCTAGCCTTCCACAGCATGCCAGGGAAGTGCACAGGGCTAGAAGGACATGTGAGGACATGAAGAGATGCTGAGGAGCAAAATGGGAGACCCAGGAGCAGAAGGGCCTTGCCCTGCTCCTCTCTGCTTCACATTATGGTTTCCATGGAAGATCTCATGGACTTGGGGCTAAAACATTTAGCACTGTGGCCCTCCTGGCACCTTGTCTCTTCAATACTCAGCCCTGGCAGTGGGCAGGAAGTTCCTTCTCTCCTTACCCAAGGGCTCTAAGCTTTTCTCTTTGAGAATTTCTTTTTCTACTTCGTGCAACTGCTTGAGTAAATACACACGTGTGCATAGGCACATACAGATACATGTGCAGGCATGTAGAAAACACACACGTGTGCACAGGCACATACAGATACATGTGCGGGCATGTAGAAAACACACACGTGTGCACAGGCACATACATATACATGTGCAGGCATGTAGAAAACACACACGTGTGCACAGGCACATACAGATACATGTGCAGGCATGTAGAAAACACACACGTGTGCACAGGCACATACAGATACATGTGCAGGCATGTAGAAAACACACACGTGTGCACAGGCACATACAGATACATGTGCAGGCATGTAGAAAACACACTTGCTGGCACGCATGCCAGCAGCAGAGAGTCAGGACCTGCTGGGCAGGAAAGGATGGAGCATGGAAAAAGCAAGATACCACTGCAAAAAGTAGAGGCCTTTTTTTTTTCTGGACTTTTACTATATATAAAAATCATAAGACTGGGAAGCTGACTGAGTGGGTGAAGGCACTCGCTGCCAAGCCTAAAGATCTGACTGAGTTCTGTCCCCAGGACTCAAAAGATAGGAGAGAACTGATAACCTCAAGTTATCCTCTGACCTCTGCACATGCCCCATTGCACACCCTCTGTACACCCTTGCATGTGTGTACCATCCCATATAAATGTAATTTTTTAAACCGGAAGATAAAATAAAACATTGCCACCGGTACTGCTGCATTATACTTGGGATTCCTGTTGTCCACACCCAATTAATTTGCGTTTTATAAATTCCTGAATGGTGCGTCTTATAAAATGAATAATTATTTCTCCAAGGCTGGAGCAAGGTTCAAAACTGTATTCTTCAATACAAGGATGGACTTGTCCAAGTGGACACACACTTTAGTTATACCTGGCTGTGAACAGCTGGGACCCACTGGGGCAGGATAACGGGGTATGCGCGAGGAGGATCAGATAGGATCAGGAATTGGGCTGGGATGGTTTAGATTGCAGACAGCAGTCTTGGCAAGGAGAAACAGGAAGAGGCTCAGAGGTCATCAAAACATGACCTCCCCCTAGATCCCGTCATAGCCACAATGGCATTTGCCTTGATTAGCCCTGATCCTTTGTGATCTGAGGGGAAGGAGATCTAATCCTGCTCCCCCTGCTGCTGCCCTCCCACTGCAGTGTGAACCCTGCTCTAAGAGGCCCGGCAAGTGATTGGTGTGATAAACATGAAGGGTCAGGACCACCTTGGAGGAAGATCACTGTTTCCCCAGCTTCCAAGAAAGGATGCAGTTGGGCAGGTTCCTCTGTTCTTTAGCTAGTGTTAGAATTTCATCCTCGGCTGGCTGTGTCAGGATCATGATCATGTCGCATGCCTTACCAAGTGGCTTACCTGAGGGCAGGAGCACTATGGGCTCCCTGGTCCCCACCAAGGCCCCTCTGTGCATACTGCCACAGCCCTTGCCATTCCTACACCACCTTGTCCCTCTACCCGGGAAGTGTCTAAGCAACGGACACTTATTCCCTGTGTACTGACTGCAATGTGACAAGCTGAGGTGTGCACAGGCGACTATGCACAGCCCTTTACCCAGCAGTGAACCCAGGAGACTCACTTGAAGTTCTCGGGGTACTCGGTGATGGCCATATTGATGACATCCAGGGCGTGCTGGTAGTGCTTCTGGGCGGAGAAGAGCAGCGCTAGCAAGTGGAGGGCATTGGCATCATCCCTGCTCACCGTCAGGACCTCCTGGAGATGCTCCATGGCGCTGGAGATCTGCCAGGAGAGAATGCCAGTTTAGGGACCTTACCCCAGGACTCAGATTCCAGCCATGGCTCAGCTCAGCCCAAGTGTGCCTGGAGCAGCGGAAGCAAGGGCATTAATAAAACATTTCCTGCCAGACAGCCTGGCAAGGGATTTGGGGAGACGAAGGTAAGCATTTTGAATGGGAGGAGTTGGAAGCCTCAGGCATAGGCTGCCTGTCACATGTGGAAGCCCCCTCTCAGAGTTTTGCTGACAGGGGTCAGAGTCCCACTCAAGAAAGGTAAGGGAAAGGGAGTGCTCTAGGAAGGTGGGGACCGAAGGCAGGGAGGCAGCAGGGATGAATGGCAGAAAGGAAGGAGTGTCCTCCGATAGAGCAGTGTGGGGCTTAGCTAGAACGGAGGCTTGGTTTTTGTATTGGGTGTTTTTCAACTCAATAATTATTGAGAGTAGTTCTATAGGAAGATTAGATAGGAAGATGAGGCCAGCTCACACAGGGCCAAGAAAGCCACTGAGAAGCCACGGGTGGTTCTAGCGTGAAGCAAAGCCTTCCCTTCAGGTGCAGCAGACCGCTGCCACATAGAGCCCTGGAGTTCACAGCTCAGATTTGCCTCCCTTCCTGGTGCTGAGTGGAGGAGGGCAGGTCCCCACTGCTCTGGGAGTCCTGCAGACTGGCAAGGAAGACAACACACCTCTGGCCCTGCTATCTTGCCAAACCCTTGCTCCTGGCAGGACCTGGGAAAACTCTGATGGTCTCTTCTGTTGAAGAAGGTGGGTGGGGGGAAAGCACGGTTCAGGGGAGAACAAGAGATCACCCTGAATGCGTCTCTCTCTGTCCTGTTCTCCTCCAGTGCCTCCCCACGCCCTTGGCTCGGCCACACAGGCCAGTAAGCACAAGGGACTCTCCTCACATGGCCTAGCCTAGGGACGCTTGGCAGAGTCTGGGAAGTTTCCACAAGTGTTTAAGAGTGAAAGAAACTCTGGTTGTCACTAATGGGAACACACTCCTTCAAAGGAGGTTGGGCAGTGCTAGTATGCGCAGCAACTCCTTAGCTGTCCAGCGTGACCTGCTAGGTGGCCCTGCATCCCCTCCACTACCTCCTCCTTCTCCAGCAAAGGCATGCAAGATGGTCTCTTGTTCCCAGCCCACCTGCCACTTGCTATCTAAATCTAAAGAGCATGCTCTTTGGAGGACTATTTGGGTGTTAGAAAAAGCAATACCTTATTTGTGAATTTGAAAGACCCGGGTCTCTTGTCCCTGGGAGCTCTTGCCTTTCGGAATTCTATGTCCTGCACGTTAGGCATACGGCTTACCTGAGATGGGTTAAACTGGTGGGATATGTACAATTGGACATGCTCGGACACCTTCTAACCCTTTGTCTGCTCAAGCATCTCCAGCCTGAGAGGCTGGCATTTCAGCACTGGTTGGCATAGGCTAAGCCCACACAGCCTGCTAATGCTACACTAGGTGAGTGAGGGGCTCAGTATAGGCTGGTGGTTCTCAACCTTCCTAATGCTGTGACCCTTTAATACAGTTCCTCACGTTGTGGTGATACCCCCCCACCATAAAATTATTTTTGCTACTACTTCATAACTGTAAGTTTGATATTGTTATGAATCGTAACATAAAATATCTGATATGCAGGATAGCTGGTATGTGACCCACAGGTTGAGAACTACTGATGTAGGCCAATTCTTCTTAAGCTGCAGGTTTAGAGTGCGGTACCGTAGTGTCCAGCCCATAATCTCCATCCTCAGGACTTCTGGCATTCATTCCAACTTGGCTCAGTTGCTCAGAATGCATGAGGCGTCCTCTCCCTGCTGCCTAGTAAACGGCACTGTCCTCGCCAAGGCTCTGCTTCTGTCGAAATGCCCACCCATTCCCCTGCCTTCCCCTTAGCTGCCTACCCATTGTGTGTGTGTGGAGGCTGTGACCAGAGGAAGGACTGGGAGAGACACAGCACCAGGCAGGAGGGAGGGGGGTTAGGATGGCCTGTTTGGACAACACACTAAGCTATGAGCCCAGCAAGGCCAGGCTCTACTGTTACTCTTGTCATGCGTGCCACAGTGTGGTAAACACCTTCCGGAACACTGATGGAGAAACACCCCCTCCTACCCACATCCTCACAGAGTCAAAAGCTTTGACTCCTGAGAAGGATGGAATGTATGTACCTCAGCTCCTCCACTGCTCTGCTGGTACCCAGGGCAAGGGAGCAACACCTCTCTGGCCTGCTTTTCCTTTGTGATAGGATGCGGCCAGGCTCCTGTGGCAGCTCCAAGGCTTAGGTTTGAGATGGCTCGGTGCATTTCCCAAAGCCAGTGTTCCCAGTGAGTCCTCCGGAGACCCCACAACGACAGAACTGTAGAATTCCTCCCCACAGTCCGAGGACATGTGCTTGAGGCGGCTGTATCCATTCCGGCCACTCTGGCCACACCAGGGTCCTCTGGTCTGTCCAGGGACGAACCCAGTGTGTCTCATTTGCCAATCTGCGCTCTGTCACTGACCTGTGCAGGCCTTTGTCTTTCTCCTTAGCAGACCTAAGACCCCAGCCTCTCATGTTCCCTTTGGGGCTTTGCACACTCAGTGTGCCAGGCCTGTCACAGTGTCTCCTTCTAGCCACTAAGTGCGTAGGTCAAGGAGAGCATGAAGCACCAGCTAGGATCGGTGGGGCTACCACTGGGTGGATGTGACTCTCCGAAGCTGGCCCTGCCCAGTGACTCACCAGAACAGACCCCACTACCCTGGGAGGGGTGTCCAAACACCCCAATATCATAGCTCAGAGCAGCCAGCCATGCTCTAGGCAGAAAGACCCAGAAGGAAGGTCACAGAGACCCAAACAGGTCTAGCTTAAGAGTCTACTCAAGATCCTCAGCCCTCTGGAACTTTCTAGACATCATGTCCCCAAGGAAACTGAGTGCCAGACTCCATTGATCTCACAAGCATTGTTTTCAGAAGATGGGTGCTATTTATCAAAGATGGATGAATAACTGAAGAGATTAAAAAATGCATCACCGAAGGCTTATCATCAACGTGACTGGCAAGGGAAGCACCAGGTTCCTTTACAGAGAGCTAAAAATAGAGTGGTCTCAGGTAACTTTCCGTCTGTTCCTAGAGGCTGAGTGATTTTCCAAGAGGAGCAGCACACAGAGAGCAGGCCTATTGCTAGGATAGCAGCCCCGGGCCAGGGCCCAGGGGTCAGGATCGCGGCTATGGGCCAAGGCCCAGGGGTCAGGATCGCGGCTATGGGCCAGGGCCCAGGGGTCAGGATCACGGCTATGGGCCAGGGCCTAGGGGTCAGGATCGCGGCGGCTATAAGGCTGAGGTGGCAGAGTGATGAATGAGTCACGGGGAGGAGGTGGTGTGAGGGAAATAAACAGAGGAGCAGGAAGCAGGAGGAAAGACAGCGGGACCACTGGATAGAAAACAGCTGAGACAGAGGTGGTGGAGACGGAGGACCTGGACTGGCAAATCAGGCTGCACAGTCACCGCTAAGAATCCGGGTGTGAGGCAAGAAGGAGCTTCCAGTAGTGGGGTGGGGGTGGGGGGCTACCACTCAGTGAGAAGTCAAGAGGCCAGAGTCCCACTACTCCTGGGTCAGAGGAAACAGCTAGTGTGGCTGCTCTAAGGTCAGGTGTGATAATGGGACCAGCCTCCTGGCAGGGGTCCAGGTACCCAAGGTCCTATCTCCAAATGGGCCAGAGCCTCTTTGCTGGGGCAGAGTGAACTTCTGGCCACAGTGTGAAATGAGGTCATGTTGACCCTGCAAGGGAAACGAACAGGACTGCCTCACTTGTCCACGTATGAACGTGGACTTCCTTTTTCTCGGTTGCTTAGTTTCTTGAGACAGTGTCCTGTTGTGTATCCCAAACTGACTCACTCTGTAGCCTAGGCCGACCTCAAACTCAAGAATTCTGCCTTAGCCTCCTATGTGTCAGGACTGCAGGAGCGCGCCACCACGTCTGGCTGTACACAGCGCCTACGAGGCTTCTCCCAGCAGGTGGTTTTGAGCTTAACACCTTTCCCAGTGGCAGGAGAGGAAAGCTGTCCTGGGGCCTCAGGCCACCTATAGTCCCCCAGCGTCAGCATGTGCTGGGTCAAGGCCACCAAAGACGCCCAGGGTGCTAGCCTGAGGGATGCAGGATGCATGGGATCAGAGGAGATTCTGAAAGGCATGATTTAGGTCAGTTGTAATAGCTGGGATCCCCTGTCCCTACCTCATGAGTCACTATCAGGAAAAGGTGGTTCTACCTGGAGAGATATAAGTGGTCATGGTGGTGATGGTCTTGGTAGGGCAAAGATGGCTACTCTACTGAACCCCTCAAGATCAGGAGCCAACAGTGGTGTCTTTGGGGTCACACAGAAACCCATCCAGAAATAGCTCCACATGCCAATCACTCTTTCCCCATGTTGAGGGTAGGGGGCAGGACATGAGCAAATGATGCTGTGGCCACTTACCCATGTCTCAGGAAACTGCAATATTCTAAGGAAAGTCAGGGCATTGAATAGCCCTTCCTGTGTGCCCATCACAAGTGGGCTGGGGTAACCACATTGGCCGAATCCTGACTAGACTCCTCACACAGATGCTCACATGAAAGACAAGGGCACCAAGAGACAGTCGGTCCCACAGGGGAGATCAGAAGCCCCACAGATCTGAGGGTTAGGAACCGTGACAACACACCTGTCGGACGAGGGCAAGCTGCAGGGAGACATAGAAGATAATCTGGGGGTCATCGGGTGCCAGTTCCTGGGCTCTGCAGGGGAGAGGAGCCAAGAGTCAGTTACTGTCAGTTGAGCAGCCCGCCAACCGGGGGCTGGGGGCTGGGGGCAACCAGCCCCTCTCAGATGGCGGCTGATGGCTCAGTCAGGTCCACAGGCTGCTCACGGCAGAGCACAGTGGCTCATGGAGGGCTGGGACAAACTGAGGTAGGGTATCTCCAAGGTGACAGACCTCAGATGAAGGGTAGGACGGGGACGGGGAAAGATAGCGTCACATCTGTGACTGGCACCCTGGCTGTTTCTCTGTGGACAGCAGTTACCCTGACTGTGGCTCTCTCAAAGCACACTCACACTGCCCCGAGAAGGAGGCAGGGCCTCTCAACGGCCAGTCTGAGCAAGGAGTCCCAGGTGCGCAGCCCTGGTGGAGAGGTGGGCAAGACTGAAGGCCAGAATAGCTTGCTTTTTTGGTTGGGGAACAGCCTGACCCAGAGGGAAGCTGGTGTGTCACACACTCCATTGGTACAAGGAGTCCTAGCCAGGTCCTCCCTAGTAACATCCCTCTGTCGTTTCAATGTGGGGGATGGGGCTTAGTGGGTCAGGCCAGGGGAGGGAGGCTCAGATGGGCTGGGTCTGAGCAAGGCCCTGGCTCCCCACCCCCCCACCCCCGACTCCAGGAAATCTCTGAAGTTGTGGGTGGGAAGTTCCTGCAGCTCTGGTGTGGTCAGGCTAGAGGGCACCGACATCACTCTGGAGGCCCTGCTATCTGAAGGATACCACGTAGCAGCGGCTCTCAACCTTCCTGATGCTGCAACCCTTCACTACAGCTCCTCATGTTGTGCTGACCCCAACCATAAAATGATTTCATTGCTACTTCATAACTGTAATTGATGCTGTAGTGAATTGTAATGTAAATATCTGATTCGTAAGATACTTTGTATGTGACTCCCAAAGGGGTCATGACCCACAGCCTGAGAACCACTGATGTACAGGCTGCATTTCCTGTTTTCTGTCCAGTATCAGAACACCAGCGGAAGCGTGGGAGTCCCAGGAACAAGGGTTGGGCCTGGCAGCTCTGAGCTGAAGATAGGGGCCCCCAGTGCCCAGTGCTGAGGGCAAGGTTACCCAAAACAACAACCTGCTCCTGCCTGCTGGGTGGCCATCTGGCATTATGATTTCCTTATCCATGAGAGGGAAGACAGAGACATCCATTTCAGAGAGTGGGACGTCATTGTGGGACCCTCCACTTTATCGCCCTGCATGCGAAAAAGCAAAAGATTAGGCGCCTCCTCACCGCTCAAGTGTCTGCAGCGCCTTGCGGTGCAATTCATCTTGCTTGGACTTCAGGGTGGCTGCAGGAGACACAATGGATTGTGTGTGGGTCACAGAAGAAGTGCATCTCTCCAGTCCATCCCCAGGGCACAGGAACTTAGCCAGAAGGAGCCTAACCAGGGTCCTGTTTGCAACCCTCAAGGTCCAGTACCTGGGTTCAAGGCACTGAAGACCGCTGTGACAGCAATAGCAGGCTATCACTAAGGGACTGGTGGCCACTTCCCTAGCCCAAGCAAGGATGGTGGTGCCTGAAGTCCTATGACCTTGGGTCTGAGGGGTAGAAGGGCATTCAGTACTGGACTGCCCTATATGGCTTCAAGGGTTCCTTGAACCTACACATAGGGGCGGGCACTAGGGGGCATGGGTGAAGTCTGGGTGGGGGTCATTGCTCCCTCCCTTCCAGACTTCAAGGACACAAAAGCAGGTGTCTCTCTATTCAATGAGGAGGCACTGGGCTGAACGAGGAAGGCTAGGAACAGAACACCAGGCCTGAGGCAGGAAGGATGAGGATCTTAGGAAACTCCTGTAGGTACTTGATACTGTAACATTCTTGAGGAGGAATTTCAAGGACCCCAGAGGGCTGCTGCAGAGCTGAGGGTAAAGGCAGGTCTGTGAGAAGTGGAAGGAAGCCATGGTGGGGTGGAGGGCTGATGGCACTGCAGATAAGAGGGCAGTGAGGCCTGGGCAGGGCCTACATGGGTCAGTGAGGAGGAATGGCACATTGGTGGGTATCTGTCTGAGTGAGAGTGGACACTCTCGGAACTGAGGGAGGGGTGTGTGTGTGTGTGTGTGTGTGTGTGTGTGTGTGTGTGTATAGGGGGGTGTGATAGCACGGGTGTGTGTTAGGGTGTGTGTATGTGTGATAGGGTGTGTGTGAGTGTGGTACGGTGGGTGTGTGTGTGTGATAGGGTGTGTGTGTGTATGTGTGTATAGGGGGGGTGTGATAGCATGGGTGTGTGTTAGGGTGTGTGTGTGTGATAGGGTGTGTGTGGTAGGGTGTGTGTGTGTGATAGGGTGTGTGTGTGTGGTAGGGTGTGTGTGTGAGTGTGGTAGGGTATGTGTGTGAGTGTGGTAGGGTGTGTGTGTATGTGATAGGGTGTGTGTGTGTGTGGTAGGGTGTGTGTGTATGTGTGTGTATGCGTGTGTGTGAGTGTGGTAGGGTGCATGTGTGTATGTGGTAGGGTGTGTGGGTATGGTAGGTGTGTGTGTGTGTGGTAGGGTGTGTGTGGGGTAAGGTGTATGTTTGTGTGGTAGGGTGTGTGTGTATGTGTTGTAGAGTGTGTGTATATGTGTGTGTGTATGTGCGTGGGAGGTAGGGTGTGTGTCTATGTGTGTGTTAGGGTGTATTGGTGGGGTATACACATGCATATATCCCAGAGGAGGGCTGCTGTCTGTAGGAGGGCTCACTAGTAGAATGAGACACCTTGGAAACATCCCACCCTCAGGCAGATTCTCTGGGGCCTGACACTCACCATCAGTGGCCTGCAGACTGTAGGTGAGACCCAGGGCCAGGTAGCCTTTAGGCAGGAACTCTCCTGCTTCCTCTCCAAGGCTGATCACCACCGTGGCAAAGTGTTCTGCCTCTTCTAGCTGCAAAAAGGAAAGGTAGTGGTCACTGGGGTGGGCTTGGCGGTTCTGAGCAGGAAAGGGAGGATAGTAACCAACCTGGGGCAGTGTCAGCCCCAAGTATAAACAGAACAGTTCCCAACACTGGAACTGTAGGCAACGTGACTTATCCAGGCCCTACAACTATTGAGGAGGAAGTATCTCCCTGTTTGTAGGAGCCAGTGTTCAAGGTCGCAGGTGCCAGCTCTTCCGGACAGACAGACGGACAGACTCCCTGCCTGGGAGAGCCAGCTCCCACAGCCTGCTGTGCTGAGAGCATGAACTCCAAACAGGCCACGTGTGGCTCCTCATCACATGGTCCCTGCAGGCAGGGCCTGCTCAGCAGACAGAGGGGAGCCACGGCTGGCTGGGCCTTGTTGAACATGGCCAACCCTGCAGAGTAGGCAGGCAGCCACACAGGCTAGTCTGGAGCTCACTCCCTCCCTTCCTGAGCAGGAGCCAGTGAGCTTGAACATTCAGGGGAAAAAGGCCCTGGGCTGTTTTTGTCCTGGGAGCAGGGGGACTGTTCCAGTTGGAAAAGGTCCAACTGGCATGGGCCATGTGAACACACATCCTCACACACAACACAGGACACAGGGAGAAGGCACATGAGGGGGAATTTATAGATACTTTGCGGCACACATAATAGTGAGGCTGGCTGGGGTGTAGGGCTGGGGCTAAGACTGTGTCCATTCTTATGTGTCTCCACCAACTCTTTCCCAACGAGTCCCTAACCTGCCATATGTAATGCATAGCAATATGTCTATGTTTTATCCAGAATATTGACTCCCAGGGCCGCTTCCTTCAACATCTCCCTCCCACTCACACACCACTTCCGACAGACAATGGATGGGCAGACAGACAGACGACAGACTACAAATATGCCCCAAGCTCAGGTATCCCAGCCAGCTAGAGAATCACAAAAGCAATCCAGTGGAGGCCAGAGCACACTCCTGCTGGCTTCCAGCCACGCCCAACCCTACTGATATCCTGACTTAAGCTGGTTTGCCCAGGAGGAGTTGGGTAGCTCTGATTGTTGGCCACAGCTGTGGAGAGTGCGCAGGTAAAATCTTTCTCCCTGGAGTGTGGCGGGATTGCCTGAGACAGAGGCCATGGAGAAATGAATGGGCCGAGTCCCCAGTTTGGACCCAGCTATGAGGAGCCATGTGAAAAGAAAAAAAGAAAAGAAAAGAAAAAGAAAAAAAGAAAAGAAACCCCTCCAAACCTGAAGGAGCAGAGCAACACTGTGGTGCAAAGAACAGGACTCCTGAATGTACCATGTTCCCTACAGGGCCAACACTATTTTGAGTTCTGTTGCCACCCACAAAGCAGCCCTTCTGCATGTGGATTCACTGCAGTAATTATAAAGGAAAAATAGTATTAATTCCAAGTAAGTTAATGTACAATACAATAATTACACATGGTATTAATAGACACGGGCGTATTAGCTAGCAAATGGGGAGGGTGCTGTCATGGCAAAAATGAAAACCAAAGAAAAACAAAACCTTTTACTAGGCACGCTGTCCCTCTTTGTCTAAAGCAGGTGTGCCACACGGAGAGCCTTAGAATTAGGCTCTGAAGGGCTAGGACCCAGCCAGGCTCTGAACCAGCCCGACCCCCAGGTCAGTTCTCGTCACAGAGACAGAGCACCGTGGGGTGACAGCGAAGCTGAGCACATTGCTTGGACTCCATTCCTTTGAGGTTATCTTGTGGGCCTCAGTCCCCTCTTCTGTAAAATGGGGACAGCAATGCCACCCTCAGAGGGCTGCGGGGAGGACGTGGTGTGTGCTTGCTGAGTGTCAAAGATGAAGACCAGCAATTACATGTAATATACACACATGCCACAATTACTACACATATACGTGTATACATGTATATATTAATCACGCATCATCACGCTGGAAAATTTGCAAGTGGCATCAACAGAATCCAAAGGAGATGCTAGTCCTGCCTGCCTTTTGTCTGTGGGCCTGGCTGTTCTTAGAAAAGCATGATTGCACCGGACAGGCAGGCACCGGCCAGAACTGACCAGTCAGCTGTTCAGGTTCATGTCGCCAACCAGATCTGAGGTTGAGGGTACACCTCAACCACCCCTCACTCACCCCTTGCATAGGTGATACTATATCAGAATATTTTCCACTCTATTATCTTATCTTATGATATATTCCCTTTTTTTTCTTCCTAAGTGTTCTATTCTACAACCTTTGATCCACAATCTGAAAATGCTGTTTTAATCTGACTGTTCTCAGCCGCCCAACACTATTTCTACCAAGTTCCCTTGCCAGCTTTTCCTGCTGGGGACGTCAGGTCCTCCCATGGCCTCCTGGAGGCTGTTGTCTCTGCCACCAGCTCAGACTGTGGCATGAGGTCCTCTTTCTTATCAAATACCCCTAGATGAGGAGTTCCCAGTGTCTCCTCCCTCACCCCACTATGGTACTGTCTTGAAATGCCCTCACTCAGAGCATCCAGGTGAGCTTGCCATGGCCACCTAGGGAAGGTCCTCCCTCCCTACCCCTGTTTCTGAACAGCCTGAGGCCTGACAACCACATCATAGCACCACGGCAGGTTAGGAGGCACGGGGAGCTTGTGTGATATCCCCACCCCCACGGTCAGCCATTCAGCCAGCAGTACATCTGTGACCCTAGCCCTCAGGCTGGCTAAGGGCTTCATGGCTGCCCTCTGCACTTTCTTGGTTTTCTCCTCCCTGACGCTTGGGAAGCGCACTACACTAGTAGTACAGGGAACTTTCCTTCATAAGTAAGGAAACACTCTGTGCCTTCCCAAGTCCCTTGGTATCCGAGGTTTTCCTAATTTGGTCCCTGCACAGCAGACTCAGCTGAGTTGGCACACTTGCTGGGGCTCGGGGCCGCCTTCCATCGCGGAATGAGGGACAGCCTCGTTCACCTGCACTCAGCAAAGAGGGTGCCACCTCAGGCCCTCCATCCACTCTCTTCCCAGTGACTGGAGAGAGCCCTCTATTCAGAGACTGCAGGATTCTGCTGACAGACCTCCAGTTCTCCTGAGCCCCTTCCTGTGGGCCTGGAACTACTTTGTGGAAATTTGCTTTTTCCCTCCTTTTCTTCAAGGCACTCTCTAACTTCTGTAAGCTGGTGGCGAAAGAGCTGGCATTCTTCCTTGCTTTGTGAGCAATCCAATGAAAGCAAAAGCACCCTTCCCAAGTGCTCACTACTGTGAAGGTACTGAGAAGAATAACGGCATCCATTTGGCATATAGCTGCAAAGGGCCATGCAGACACACACCATTTCCTAAGGCTCACCCCCTTTTAGGGAACATGCCAGCTCCCAGATTATAGATGAGGAAACTGAGGCACAAGGAGAGTGAATCACTCCCTCAAAGTCACACAAGCTAGTGAGTAAGGTAGACAACAGGACTTGAACCCTATCTGTTCTCCAAGCTGATGCTCTTTCCAGTACCATGCTGCCCCGTTGGGTGATACGAAGCCCGAGACACACAATACAGGCCTCTGCAAGATGAGTTCACCTACGTCTGATTTCCCCTTTTCACGCCAGCTGTCTGTGTGGCATACAATATACAAGCATGCCCTGCCCTCTGTGACTCCTGAAGGGGTTCCAACTTTTTAAAATAAATCAGTTTTAAATAGCTGTGTTTGGAGGGATCCAAGAAAATACCTACATTGTCTTTTCTATCTGCTCCCCAGATTTGCCTTGTGGCTAGCGTGCAAGGCAAAGGAAGTGAAGAAGCACTTCATCGGAAACAAAGCCCACACCAGGCAAGGTCACAGTGAAGGACAGAGTTCCTGGAGGGCGGGGGCATAGGCACTCACCAGCATTGCCCACTGGCCTCAGGAAAAGGCAGAGCTATGCCTTGGAGAAGCACAGAGGGTCATACCACAGTTCAATCCACGTCCAGGGTGAGTACAAACCAGACTTTATGAGCTCCAAGAATGGGTCTGGGAAGATGGCTCAGCAGTTAAGAGCACTGGCTGCACTTCTAGAGGGTCTTGGTTAGATTCCCAGAGCCTACAAGGTGGCTCAAACCTTCTGTAACTCCAATCCCAGAGGATCTGACCCCCTCTTCTGGCCTTTGTGGGCATTACACACACATGGTGCACAGACACACATGCAGGGGAAAACATTTAGTCACTTAAAATAAAAACAAAGGAAAACTAATTTTAGGAAAAAAGGAGGGGGCCCAGGGGAGGCATCTAAGTCTCCAGCAGCTTGCCCTCATCCCCGTTTACCTGCAGAGCCTTGTTCCCACCTGCGTCTGACTCCCCATCAAAGTTTGACCAGGTCAATACTCAGACTATTCTCAGCCCCGGGTACCAGCCCGCCTCTCTCCCCTCTTCTGATGACAAGTCTGCATGTTTAAGCTTCCTTTTGGGCTTTTCTATTTATGTTGTCATTGATTACTTTGCTCCTAACTCATCTGATTTCAATTTGGACTGATTTGATCCTAATTTTATTACCATGTAATCTGAATGCACATAATCACTGTAATTATGCTACAGAGGGAAACAGCTCCTCCATGGTGGGAAGATCTAAATTTAGGGCTTCCTGGCAAGGGCACCAGTGTCTGGGTGGACTCTCAGCTCCTTGGAGCTGGCAGCTCGGGGGAGCACATATGCCCTCCCCAGCCCTGCTTCCAGAGACATGGGGTATTTTAGGCTTCAGCTAAGGGATGAGCCCAAGGTTTCCTCTCAGAAGTCTTGGAATAAGAAGGAGTCTGATCTGGGGATTGGGTAAGCGCCCTCTGCACCTTTAGCTCCCAGCACTCTTTGCTGCAGAGGTTTGGCTTGGTACTCTGCAGGCTGCAGCTGCATGCCACCTACAACAGAGTGGGTGCTTGCTGTGGATCTAGAATGCAGAGGAAGGAATGGGGCTACTTTGCCTGTTGGAGAGGATATGTGGGGTGCAAGATGACAAGTGAGAGGGACAAGGGACTCGTTCTGTGTCACTCAGAACATAGGAGGGGGACTCTCCCTTTCATCGGGAAGCTGATCTGGATAGTTACCAGTAGAGATAATATTACAGCAGTACTCCCTAGGAGCCAGTGCCCTGGGTCTGAGCTCACCAGAGACCTGGGGCTCAGGGCTCAGGGCTCGTTTTTCTCACTGTTTCAAGCTACTGGTCTTCCGAAAGCACCTTCATGAGCCCCTAGTAAAGACCATCAGCTCAGAAGTTACCAGTTGAGGTGCAGTCCCCTAAAAGCCGCCTCAGTAGAGTGTGGGGAGCAGACGGCAGGACCGGGAAAGAAGCCTCAGGGTGCAACAGAACAAAGAAGGGACTGCAAGGAGGCCATCTTTGTTTGTCTCAGGTTAGGGCTGAGTTTGACCCCTCCCCTTCTCTATTAACTATGACGTCATCTGAAGTCCCTTTTCTAATAGGCTGGTCTAGGTAACTGAGGTCTTGCCTACCACCCTGACCACTTTCCATCTGTTGGACTCTCTGGAGACCCCATTTCCAAGGGCCATGCTGTCAAGATCAAGGTTGGTGGGTCCTCAGAAACTCTCCTCCTGGTCCTACACGAAGGTGGCACCCTTTCTTCTATGGCAAACATCCCCCACCTTATCCCCCTTGCTGGGGTCCTCCCCAGGAGGTTTTGAATCTGGGCCCTGCTTGCTCTACCCCCACAGCTCACTCACCCAGTGCAGGGACCCAATGCAGACCTTGGCAGCCATCAGGGGCACTGTGGGGTTCGAGGGCTGCAGCTTCATGCATTCCCGGAGCAGCGACACAGCGTAGGCTGACTGCAGAAGCAAGAGCAGGGAGCATCATTACTTGACCACCCTAGGTGCCCATGCCCTCATGGGCAGTTCTCCCAGCAGACCTTGCTCTGCTCCCCTTTCCTTCTGAGAACCAGGAGGAGAACCCAGCGGGAAGAGTCCAGGCCATAGTCTCTGCAGGCAAGACCTTCTCTGAGTTTTGTTTCCCTCCTTTGGAGAATAGAGGCCACGAACCTCACCCTCTGGAGATGTGACAAGCGCTAACATTAATACTGAACAGAGCCTTTCCAAAAAGAATTCAGATCAGAACCATAAAGATTTGAGAACTAGACAGGGGCTCCCTAAACCTGTACTCAGAGAGGAAAGCTGGTGACAGGATTGGACAGGTGTATAAAGGCTGGGAAGAAGGCGAGGAGGTGGGAGGGCCAGAGAGAACCTTCAGACAAAAGCCCACGGGGCTCCAGGACTCAACCAGGATTTGCTGAGGACAGGTGGGGAAAGGCCAGAAGGGAAGGGCATCCAGGGCCAGACAGGTGAGCCATCTATACCAAGAGGAATGCCAGCTAATACCCCAGATCTTATAAACGTCCCAGGCAGTCTTTCCTAAGTCAGGGGCTGCCAAGAGAACCTGCAGGCTGAACCTAGCCCACTGTTTGTTTCTGTGAATAAGGTCTAATTGGAACTCACGCCTGTTTATATGCTATCTGTGCCTGCTGCAAGATACCACACTGGTGGAAAGGCTGAGAGAGACCAGCTATTAATAGTCAGAACTGACTGCCCGACCCTGCAGAAAGTCTGCTAACTTCTCTATGAGAGCGTTGGGTTTTCACAGCATCCCCACCAGATGGGCGGCTTTACAGCCGAGAAAAGAGAGAGTCTGGCAGTCAGACAGTTTGTTCAAAGTTACATAGCCCGAGAATGACCAAGCAAGGGTCTGAACACAGCCTGGACCTAACTCTTCACCACCACCCTGTGTGGCCTCCGTGGTGATGACCTTGGCTAGAGGAAGCTGGTTTCCTGGAGAGAGGTAGGGGATGTTCGTGTGTGTGTGCTTGTGTGAGCATGTGCGTGTGTGAATGTGGGTAGTCTGGAACCTTCTGCTTTCTGAACCCAAGACTTTCTGAGGGAACCCCAGCAGTCACTGTCCTGGCACGTAAGGTGATCGTCAGGTGTGTGTCACAGGTCAATCACCAAGTCCTGGGTCCTACTGTGAGCTGAGCTCCTCCCTTTAACTTAGCCTCCTCCTTCCCTAGCAACTCTGGGGGTGCCACTAAGGAACAGAGGGCGCTGGCAGGCTCCTCTGCCTGCAGAAGGATATGATTGGAATGTATGCATCCCCCGCCCCCAGCTAACCTCTCCATTTCCCACCATCTATGGAAGAACGTTCTTCCACCCAGTCTCACAGTCTCCGTGGGCTCTCATGGAGCTATGGCTTGCACACATTCTGAGTGTGTTCTCCAAGAATCCGTATGTCGGAACTTGAACCTGAGTGGTTAGCCCTGAGTAGTGATGGGGTCTAGTAGAACCTGGTTAGGCCATTGTGTGCACTAAAAGGACTGGCCATCTTTCTCATCAGTTCTGACAGGGGTTGGTATAAAGTGAGCATGACTCGCTCTTCTCCGCCTGGCTCTGTGTCTTGCTCTACAGTGTCCCCCGCTTGCACACACTCCTGCCACGTCACCCACCTTGAGGTCTTCACCAGAACCAAGCCAGTGTGGGTACCCTGTCCTTGAGCTGCAAAACTATGAGGCCAATAAGCTTCTTTGCATTATAAATTCTTCTACCTCGGCTGCTTTATTAAACGTAACAGAAAATAGACCAATGAGGTTAACGAAGGTATCTTCATTCAGGGCCTGTACTGGGCTCAGTACTGGGCTGGGGTGATAGAGTCAGAGGAGAAGGTAGATGAGACCCTTAAGGAGGTCACAGAAAGCAGGGAAACAGGAGGGACAGATGCCCAAATCCCCTATCATTCTAACAATAAGAGAGGACAGGACAAGCACAAGAAAGGGCCAGAAAATGACAGGCCCACAGCGAGCACCCAGCTTCGTGAGAGCTGCCAGGCCCCACCTCCTCCTCAGAGCCCCTCTCCTGGAGAAATGCCACACTGTGTCCCTCACCACTGTCCCTCCACCCGCACACCCCAGAGCCTCAGGCTTCTCCTCAGCTTTCCTTAGGCTGCTGACCTTTGCATCCCGGATTCTCTAGTCCTGACCCTCCATAGTCCACCCACTCCTTCCCACCCCACCCCCATGCAGACCAAAAAACACTGCTATTTAAGGAGCCGTCTGAGGACCCAGCAGTAGGAGCAGTCGGCTTCTTTTTTTTCCCCCTGTCATGCTGGTTACCTAGCAACACAGCCAATGCAACTGCCGCATGGAGACTGAGAGAGGGAACGACCTAAATCACGCTACAGAACTGTGGTTCCTGTGGGGTGAAACACCAGGCATATTTCTATCTCCCCAACCGCACCTTCTGGAAGGTACAGAACCTGGATTCCCATTTTGGGCTCAGCAAAGGCAAGCTCTGGTCACTCCTCTGAAGTCTGCCAGGGCAGCCAGGCAAATGGTTTTGGCATGCAGGATTCCCAGGGGGCAGTTGGAGAATGCCTTCCTTACACAACAATCTCACAGCGCACCAAGTGCATGGATGGGTGGAGCCTCACATATACGGAACTCACTGACCACTCCAGCGCCCTATGCCTACCTTGTGGGAACACGAAGGGACCAGAGTAGGGAATGACTTCCCAAAGGCCAGATGCCAAGCTGCCTAAACCTCTTAGGGTTCCAGCTTCTCCATAAGGAGGTGGAAGACTCCTCAAGTCCCAGACAATCATGATGCCTTTTCCTGAGGCTGGAGCCTCCAGGAACTCCCTCAAAATTCAAGCTAACTTCCATGGATAGTTTTGTTTTTGGTTTTGTTTGTTTGTTTTGATTTTTAAAGGGGGTAGCTTTAAAATAAAACCCACAGAACAGTGTGCATTGCTCTAGGCCTTTCTTCTTCTCCTCTGCTATTCTAAGGCTAACGGTGTTTCCTGTTTGGGGGAGGCAGGAAGAAGTTGCTTAATGCTGCTGTGTGTGTGGAGGATCCGCCTAAGTTCCAGCCACACCTTCCCAGCCTCCTGTCAGTAACCTAGTTAGTCACCTAGGAATTAACAGGCTGCTGCCTTCAAGTCCTACACACCTACTCCCCTTGGTTCATGCTGCCCCCTCTGCCTGGAGTTCTGCTCTTCTCCCTGCTCTACGCTACACTCCTGCCTGGAGCTCGGGAGTGCCTCTAATCCTGCTGGGCCAGCCCTGTGTATTCTCAATTCTCCTTAAAATCTGATAGCACCCCCTGGGCAGAGCCAGTAGATCATGCTGTGGACTTCAAGGTGCTCTGGGAGGTGGCCCACGTGATAACCAGCAAAGGATGCTCAAGGAGACTCCCCACTGGTTCTGCTGTGCTCCCAGCCTGCCCTGGCAGTCTGACAAGACTGCGGCACCTGGTTCTCCCCCCTCCCCCTCCCCGCCAGGCCCTGGCCTGTCTCACTGCAGAGACCCAGGGCTGCCTGGCACTTCTTCATCTGTGGAGGCGGCGCTGGCACACTAGAAGGGCCCTCCTTAGAGACGGCTGTGGGGCTAGAAATGGAATATGGCACAGATGGGCCAGGGGACGAGGGATTCCCTCAGCCCCATGTAAGGGCCCTGGGTATTTACAGCTCTTGGAACCATCTGCAAGCTCATGGCACCTTATTTCCTGCATTCATAGCATCCTCGGCCCCATCTCCCTCGGCCCCCAGCTCCGGAAAGGTTTTCCTTTCGTGTCGCTGCTTAAAATAGAGGCTTACATAAGTGTAGTTCAGATCTGAGAGAAAATCAGGGGTGCTGGAGCAGGGGCCCGGCAGGCGGAGGGCGAATGCCTACCTTGGTGCCGTGTGCTCTGGGCAGTGCTGGCCTTTTCTGCTGTCCCCACCCAGGTACTGTTAATCCCCTACAGGTTCCCATGTGTGTCGTTGCTACTCCACTCCACCGTATATCTCTCCTTCCAACTCACAGGCAGGGCTCTCTGGGGCAGGAACAGCTTTCCTCTCTCCTAGAGCCACACCAGCAGGTGTGCTACGATGACCTCGTGGTGGACCATAAGAAGAGAGAAGCATCTAAACTCATACCTGCATGCGGGCAAACTGGTCATCACTAGCACGCATCACTTAGGGCCTTCCCCATCCCATGCTCATAGACAGTCATAGCAATACCGGGTCAGTTCCCAGTCAACACAAATCTCTCCCTGGGAGGGACCAGAGGTTTCTCAGAACCCATAGAAGGCGTAACCCCCACCCCCACAGCCCTGGGCCTTACCTTCCCACAAGCTACCATGGAGAGGGCCACTTGGTACCAAAGGTGAAATTCTCCAAATGCATACTTCATGGCTCGCTCTAGGCACTGAGGAGGAAGAAGTGGTCAGCACTGGCCCCCTCCCTGACAGGGTAACCATTCCCCTCACTGCCTTCAGAGAGCTGCAGGAAACACAGGGGTGATCCAGTCCCTGCCACGGCATGCTGGGCCATGCTGCCTCAGAGTTGTCCCTAGTCCTCTCTTCCCACCTCCATAACGCAGGAATGATTTCAGAGGGCCATTCTGATAGGCAAATGAAACCAGATTGGTGAAAATGTTTTGAAAGAACACAACCCAACAAAAATAACAAGTAGTGTTGATTATCATGGGTCGTGGTAGGGCTCTCCACTTTTTGCGTGTATCAACTCATCTATTCTTCCTAACCTCCCGGAGGTGAGATCTCTAATAACTCCCATTCCACAGATAATGGATCTGTGGCTGAGGCTAGGGGGACATGCCACGGTCACTAGCCAAAGCCAGTAAAAGGCAGGCCAGCCTGAGCAGAGAGTGGGAAGTGAGGAAGGCTGGGCAGCTGACCCTACCTCAGAAAGCATGGCGTACTGGCCCCGCCTGCCCAGGGTGATGCTCAGGAGGTCATAGATGGCTGAAGCATTCTGTAAGCTCACTCTCCGGTCCTCCTCCTGCTCTGGTGCCCGACTGAGTACCACGTCCCGAGTAGCCTGCGGGTGGAATGCAGGTGAGGACCTAGCATCACAGGGCCCATATTGCAAAGCCACTCACTGTCCCATTTCACTGCTCTTACAAGCCAAATAACTGACCACACTCTCAGAAATGCCCTCTCCTAACCCCACAAAGCTCTCTCCAAAGACAGAAAACCCACGGTCCAGGTGTGTGTGCGGGGTGTCATCCTAAGGCTCAGGGTCCTGAAGTTGCAAGGACAGTGCCATGGCCTCCTGCCTTTCATCTGAATGTGACACCTGCTGACACTCAGCACCCCCCACCCCACTTCACTTCAAACACACATCATCAATGCTCTCTCTCATTAACACTCAGTCTTCCTTCTTCCAGAACCTAAGAGTCACTACTCAGTGACCAGCAGAGCACCAAGCGGTGGTGGTGCACGCCTTTAATCCCAGCACTCTGGGAGGCAGAGGCAGGCGGATCTCTGTGAATTTGAGGCCAGCCTGGTCTACAGAGTGAGTTCCAGGACAGCCAGGGCTACACAGAGTAGTACCCTGTCTCAAAAAAAAAAAAAAAAACAAAGATAGATAGATAGATAGATAGATAGAGCTACACAAAGAAACCCTCAAAAACCCAAAAAGAAAAACATAAATAAATAAATAAATAAATAGCTGCCAAGCAGGAACATCTGCAAAGCAGGGGTCTGAAATGACTCTTATACATTCTCGGGACTGTGCTTGGCAAAGCTGGGCTCTGGCCCCACATGCTTGCTGATGACCCCAGCATGCTCCTCTCTGACCCCTCTCCTTCTGCCAAAGGGGTCCTTGTCTAGCATCGTCCTCCCTCCCTGAGACTGCTCTGCTCCCCACTGGCTGTCAGCCAAGGACTGGCCTGCTAGATAGAAAAAAAGGAGCTATTGGCCCTGAAACCTACATATACTACCAACTCCAAGGTCCCATCCTGCTCACCAGTGCTCCTCACTGCCTCCTGAACAGAGCCCCACCCTCCCTCCTGTAGGGAAGGCGCAGGAGCTACCCTGGGCCAGAGGGTGAGGAGACACAAGCCCCATTGCTTGTAGGCTCTGGGCTAAAATGGGCTCCCTTAGAGGCTCCTATTAGCTAACAGGTCTGCTAGCCCCAAAGAACAATCCACTTAGGGGCATCTGAGGCAGGGAGACAAACTGGGGGCAATGGATCTGGACAGCTGCCTCTTCAGCCACGATTGTGATAGGTGTTCCTCTTCCTCAAGAAACACAGATGGCCAAGGAGGGGATGCCTGGGCTAGAATGCCAGGAATGGCAGGAAATCCTCACAAAGATCAATGCTAGAGCCAACCTGATAAACGGAGCCAGGAACTGCAAGCAGTGAAGGCAGGGGAAGCGCCAAGAAATCCCTCTCCCTCCCAGAGAGTTCCACCCACACAGCCACGTGGGAACACAGCCACGCTCCGTCCCTCACACTATACCTCCCCACTCCTCCACCTCCAGCAGCTCTTGGCTCCAGGTACCCAATGGGGACCGTGGGTGAGTAGGCTTCTCCAGGCAGCAGAGGGAAAGGAAGGAGGGGATGAAGACCGGAGATGCAGAAGGGGGCTACGGGACGCATCTGTGCATTCCTACGACTTTTGGTAGGAGGAAGAAATCAGGATGGAAGGGATAGACCAGGTATTCTGTAGGGGTGGCTTCTCTTGAGGTAGAGGGAGCCTTGCTGGACACATTCCGAGGACTGAGAAACCTACCCTGCACAGAAGCCATGTTGGGAGAGGGGTAGTGAGAACAAACCATCACCGCTTCCCTCAGGGTGACACTTAAACTTCTTTCTCTGGCTGTCTCCTACATGCCTCCAGCATGCCCTGCTGTTTCCCATCTTCAAGGCTCGACTGAGTTTGGTCACTTTGCAGTTCTCCATATCAGCCTGCTGGCAACTCCCAACTCAGAGGGCTGTAGCCAACCTACCCCTCTGCTTCACAAGCATACACCTGGGCCCCAGCAGTCCTGGCTGGCTCATCACCCCTTGTAGCGGGGCATGCCATTTCTAGACTGAGCTCCTTGAACCCAGAGCTTCATAAATCCGCCATTGTGGAATGAGCAATACGCCAGGAAGACGGCTCTGGGCTGGCACAAAAACTCCTTCATTGTCTACCCTAGACCTTGCCCTCCAAGAGGACAGGCCTCTGGGTGTGTCTGGTGGGAAGGAGGGGTGGATTTTCAGAACTGAGTGTCATTAGAGCAAATGAAACCTAAGACAGGGCAAGTCCTCCACATGCCCCTTAACCAATAGACAGCAGCAAGAGCGTGCTCTTAAGGGTCCTTGGTGCTTTTGTACGAGGGGGGAACATGGTTCCCACTGGACAGCCTGAAGTAGATGTCTGCCCAGCTTTTGGCATGGCTTTGTGGGCAGGGTTACAAGAAAAAAAAAAAGTTGGGCTAGTGTTGGTTGCTGGGCAGTGCCTGTGTATGTAACCATGGTAATGGGTTAGCTTGGGGAAACTGGAGCAGAAAAAAAAAAGGAAGTCTTAGGGCTGGCTAGTTAGCCACAAAAGAGCATGGATTCGTGTGTGGCTCAGGAGCCAGAACAAACCTCAGAGGCAGGGGGCACCACCACTAGGTTTACCAGCCCTCCCCAGAGGCGCCCCAGCCTTCCCATCCCTCTTCCCTGGGCTCACACAGGCCCACAGGCTTCCCAGGGAGCCCGTCCACTCAGTCCTAACCACACTCTTTCCCTTTCCTGTGCACACCGACGGCCTCAGACACCCGCTTTCATCAGACAACCCCAGACCAGTGCAGTGTCGGTGAACGCACTTGTTAGAGTAAATACAAGCCCCTGAGCTGGCTCCAGGCTCTCCCCACTGCCCCCAACTGTCCCCTGTGCTGTTCGTGGGATAAAGGTGAGTATTCTCCCTGGGTTTTCTCCCTACCCATCCTGCCTACTTTGGGCACTGCTTTGGGTTGTCCTGTGAGAGCGAACCATGCTCCCCTCTGTACCAAAGCCCTAAGGACCCACAGGAGCGCACCCTCACTGCTGTGACCTTGCCCTTGGTTCCCACTGTGGGATGATCTGCCCTCAGAAGCCAGATAGGACTCCCAGAGGCATTCCTACTCCTCCCCTTTGTCCCTCTGGTGCCTCTCCCAGAAGAACCCGTCTCAGACTAGATCATTCGGATTGTCAAGAGACCAGCCACACTCCGGTCTAACAGCTCCACGCTCTCTCAGGACTCACCCCTGCTCTTTGGACAAATGTCCTCCCTGAGACAAAAATGGGAATCCTCCTTTCCTTCAGCAGGCACAACCCTTGCTGAGGCACCCTCCCTAGGTGCATGACCTTCTCGGGAAGAGAATTCTCACACCATCAACTTATCTGGCCCATGAACCCTAAGGGCAGCGAAAGAAGTATAACCTTCCGAGGGGGGGTGCTCTGAGTCTCCAGAGATGGACATCCAGAGCCAGTCCAGACTTGAGGCTTTCCTGAGCACCAGGTCAATTATCCTGGCAGTAGCCAATCTCTGACAGATGTGGCGCAGCTGGCACCTCTGCCGAGCCCCATCCTCCACTTAATTCTGGACCTAGATAGAGTCCCCGTCTAAGTGGGGGAAATGGAACACTTTCTAAGTGGCATCTGATTGTCCTCGTGCCCTCCTGCCCGGTCTCATCCTACTTTACGGAAGACCAAGGAAGGCTGAGGGAGACTAGGGGAGACTGGGGGAAACTGGGGGAGATTGTGGGAGGAGGCCAACACAGTTTTCTTCAGAGGGCAGAGACCCCACTGAAATCTAGACATCCTGGTGTCACCCTGGCTGCTTCCCTGGTTTCAGATTTCTCTCAGAACGTGTCTAGTAGTCTTGATCAATACTATCAGAGGCCTTGGGCTGGCTTTGCTGAAGAAGGAACCAAAGCAAAATGTGAAGTCTTGGGTGCTGTCTCTTTGCAAGGAACAGGTTCCTGAAGGAAGATGCCCAGAGCCCTGCTCAGAGGTTTCACAGAGAAAGCCTCTCATCAAGCAAGCGAACCCGCCCCAAAAGTCACACCAGAAAGAAGGACCTAGGAAGCATCTGTGCCCAGTGATGCTCCCCTTCCCCGGAGGACACTGTCCTGGGCAGCTCCTGCTGGTTCCCCTGCTGGCAGACATGATTACCACCAGCTCTTGAGTTCACAGAGCCAAGAGCTTCTGTGCTCTGTGACAGGCTTCATCTACCCAGCGACACAGTTCCTGTGGCAGATGTCACAGTCTTCCTGTCACGGGTACTGAACCACCGGCTCTGAGCTGGCAGCCTTCTGCAGAGCAAGGACTTGCATCACAGCAAAGCTGGTGCCAAAAGCTAGGACGCCGTGTGTCTCATCTGCCAGTCCCAAATGGAACCATGCCTAGGAAGCCCTTTTCTTTAAAATAGCAGACTAATGCCCTCAATCTCTCAACTAGATTAAAGCCTACACGTTTTCAAAGGCAACTGAGTCGGAATCAAAGCCTTTCCCGCCCCCAGGACAAAAACATGCACCGAACAACCCAACGAGATAGCTTTGTGTTTATTTTATTTAATCCACCCAAACTCCTTCCGCAGAGGCCTTGGTAACTCCATCTTACAGATGAGCAAACAGGTTCACAGAGAGAGACTTTCGCTCAGCTATGAGTGACAAGTACAAGAACCATGCTGCCAGGTGCCTGGTACCGAGTATAGTGCAGAACTAGTTTCTTAAGGTGCAGGGTCCCAGTCCCAAAGACACCCCCAACCTCCCACACAGGTTCCCTATCTAGTACCTTCCTGAGGCCACACCAACAATGAATTCTTTCCCGGCTAAACAGAGAAAGGATCGGATTTTGCTGGCTTCCCTGCACTACGTGGGAGTGCACTGGAGATAAGGGCTTCAGGCTGTTTCGTTGTTTTATGTATGGTGCTGAACATGTGGTCCAGCACAGTTCAGCTGCTCTGTAAGGAACAGTGTTGAAAATGGTCCAGCTCAGGACATCTCGCTTTCTTAACCTATACTTCTCAGATGCATCGTCTAAGAAACCCGGTTCTCAGCTGGCAGTCCCAGCTCGGCAGCACCGATGGACTCCAGAGTTGAAGAACTTGGATCCAGTTGTGTGGATCCAGCTGTGTGGACATACCTCCTTACTCCCGGCTTCTGTAATCCACATGTTTGAGCTTCCCTTGGTGCAAGAGGTCCATCCTTCATGTCACACCTCTACCACTACCCGACCACACCATGCCCTCCTTCGAGGAGCCTCCAAAGTACTCTGAAGACACTGCCTAACGCTGTGGTCACCACGGGCATGTATGCATGCACACTATCACATATGCATTGCCCAGGGTATGGGAGATGGGTCCCCATGGCCTTATTTTTCCGTAGTAAGCAAACAGGGATGACAGGGATAGCCCGGACACTGGGATTATCATTCACTACTTTACCACCCCCGACCAAAATGTGAACTCCACGAGGTCAGGGGCCTGTCTGCATTCTGCTTATTGCTACATCTCTGGCTTCTAGACTAGGCCCAGGCCCAGGACAGATAATCAAGAGTTGTTGCAAGAACATGAATTCTATCCAAACTTACTTCTGAGTTACCATCATCATATGAGGAGGAAACTGAGGCTCAGAATGTCTGAATGCTTTGTGCCCGACCCTCAGCTAATCAGCAGAGCCCCGGAGCCCCAATTCAGGTCTTGTGCCTCCAGAATGCATACTCCTTCCTTTCCTTGTCTGTTCTTACATCAGTCACAGCACCCAGCTGCTCAGTGCACACTGCTGCCTAGTGATAATCAAGTTTTGTAACCCAGAAGAGAATTTCACACACACTCAGTCTCTACCTACTTGGGACAGACATTGGGTCTCTCATCATAGCCCAGCATAGCTAGCATGGCCAAACCCAAGTGCGCCAGACTTGCAAATGTGTGTGTGTATCTGTGTATGTGTATGTGTATGTGTGAGTGTGTGTGTGTGTGTGAGAGAGAGAGAGAGAGAGAGAGAGAGAGAGAGAGAGAGAGAGAGACAGAGGCAGGCAGGGCCAAGAAGCTTGCACCTTCCTGGGAGGCAGAGCTTGACTAGGCCATGGATAGCCTGCATCTACCTATGCCAACACTCTCCACAAACCCGGTTCCCTGGGGTCAGTGGTGCCTGGGGCTTACCATGGACTCACTGATAAGCAGCAGCAAGAGCGCCTCCTCTATGTTGTCTTTGGGGCAGTAGAGGCTGGAAAACACAACAGCATTCCTGGTTGCAGCCCAGCCCACATCAACAGTACCTCTGCCTCCCCGACTCCCCAAGCAGCCCAACATCGACCTGGTAAGTTGACCCTTCTCCTGCATAATTCACAGGCACTGAATACCTAGAACAGCTCTTAACTAGCCCCAAAGTTCTGAACCTGAAAGGCTGCTACCATCCTGCAGAAGAAATGGCCCATTCACCCACAGCCTGAGGTGAGGCATGGGGAGAAGCCACTGGTGACTACAGACTCCACCTTCAACTGGCACCTCAAAGGGGTGTGTCAGGAAGACAGGCAATCTCTGAACGTGTGGCTTCGGGGAGCCATGAAACATTCTCCCCCAACCCCATCAGAGACCGTCTTTTCTTAGCCTCTAAAATGTCTGTCTGACATTGGGGCAGGGCTGGGAAAGCAGGGTACCGTGAAGAGACACCAGAAGGTATCAGAACCTGTATTCATGGCAAGGCCAGAGCGGAACACCAGGGCAGGCGGCAGGCACTCACTTGTCTCCTTCATAGAGGTGAGGTTTCCGAAGGGTCTGGGTGATGAAAGAATTCTCCTCCTTGCTCATGAACTCAGGCAGAGGGTGGGACAAGGGGCTCCAGTAACATTCCTCACTCAGGGAATGCAGCAGGACCCCTGCCAGGTGCTTGGCCGCCACCTGGCAAAGAGGGAGAGACTCAGGCTGGGGTAAAACGTCTGCAGCTTGCCTATGCAGCCCTGGTTCCCAACTAGATCTGCCCACTGCATGATGTACTGCGCCTCTGGGGGCCTCACATTCCATTCCCAAGTCCCTAGGTCCTCAGTCCCTCCGGCACGGTAGCTACCACCTCTCCCACGGATGACATAGCTCTACCCCATCTGATTTTGGAAGAACAAAGGTCTAAGTACATAGGCCTGAGTTGGGGCACGAGAGGAGAGTCAATGACATCTATTAAGATCATGAAGAAACGAGCCATACCACACATCATTAGGATAGTTTTGCTCATGCAAGGGATGGCAGTAGATTTCAACTCTATTCTAACGCTAGGAGTCATCTTCAGTGTCCTGATGAAGAAGATGAGATAAACAGGGTGCTTCCCAGGCTTGGTGCGAAAGCATTCTGGGATGGATTAACAATGTCTGCTGAGAGCAGAGGAAGGTGAGCATAGGCATGCATGTGACATCTCTAGGTCAGGGGCCTCTTGCTAGGGCTTGTGTTGTCTCCCACCCTAAGTGGCCTTTGCGTAAGCCAGCCCCAGCCAATCGTCACATTACCACTTTGAAGTTTTGCGTTGCTTTGGTCTCCACAGTCCTCAGAATCTCCCGCAGCTCCCTCATGCCTTTCACGATGTTCCTGGAAGAGGACAGCCAAAGTGGGACCACTGCTCACCGAGCTCCACAGATCCCCTCCTAAGCCAACACCTGCCGGGTGGTCTGTATGGTGCGGGTATGCTTTGGATATCTTCAGTCAGTGGAATGAAAGCCAGAACTGTGACTCCAGGACACTCCAGAACCAGGGCTGACATGCTGCAGCTGACAGCCAGGAAGCCCACTGCTGCCCACCCCCAACTCCTCAGCCCCCAGGGGCTTGGTAGTCTGGGAACTACAATAGGACAGTATTGTGCAGGTCAAGTCCCTTGCCTCCAGGGAAGCTCAGGAAGCTACAAGCTTCCAGGGTTACAAATGCAGGCCTTTCTCTGTAAGCCTGAGAATGCAGACAAAGACACCTGGAGTAAGGTCAGTCGGGACTTTCCCTGACCTGCCCAGGTTGCAGAAGAAACCACCATAAAGAAGGCAGGGAACCTCAGCCTCCAGATCCCTCCGTCCTGTGTCAGGGAAACAATCTCACCTCTGTGGCCCACAGTCTCCCCTAGTGTCTCCATACTCCCTGTGGGCATGCTCCATTCTCCAGTGTCCCTACTAGCCCATGGCCATCATTATTCTTTATGTAATACTTCTGCTTCTATCTCCTTGTCACTTAGTAGCTATCTGGCTTTAATAAAAAAATACTTGAAATCACAGGTTTGTTGTGCTAGTAGGTTTTTGTTTTTGTGGATTGTTTTTTTTTTTTTTTTTGCAAAATATAGTAAGTGCCGAAGTATTTTTAAGCACAGAAGTGATTTTTACAAGTTCGTGTGTGTACTACTTAATTCCACTGCGCTTATCACTAAAAGTTCTCAGCCTACACGCAAGGAAATGATGACTCAGAACAGAGCTCTTCAGAGTACAGTCAGTTCCTGGACCAATGGCAACACTATCCCAAGAACTTGCTAGAAATGAAAGTTCAGAGATACGGGAGCATGTGGGAAAGGCCTGTAAACACCGAGAGGCCACACGCAATCACCGCAAGAGTCAAGTCCCCATGATCACACTGCAGAAGCACGAAGACACTGACTGTCCCTGTGTGGTGGTGTCCTGCCCTCCTAAGTGCAGCGTCCAGACTCTTCTGAGAAGCGAGTTGAGTGCCCACTTGTCAGAGCGTCAACGCCCCCAGCACCTGTAGTTTTAAGCGCTATGGCTGCGTTTTTTTCAGGGTACAAACCAGCGGATCAAGGCCCAGGAGGCCAGCTCCACAGTGCAGCCTATGAAGCTGCTGGAAGCGTGGAGCAGCTCCCTGGAGAAGAAGCTTTCCTTGCGGCAGAAGGAAAGCGTTGAAAAAAACAAGAGCATACAGAGTTTGCACAATCAGATATGTAGCTCTGAAACTGAAATTGAGAGACAAAAGGAGAATGCTTCGAAACAATGAATCCAAAATCCTTCTTTTACAGCAAGGAAAAGACAGCCAAGCAGAGAATCTGAGAGAACTCAAGGAGATCCGCCCCTTCCGGCAGAAGTGGGAGGAAGCAGACAGCGTGAAGAGCAGTGTGGAGACCCCCAGAACCATGTGACTGAGCTGGAAAGTGGGCACAAGAGTGCAGGGTAGGCGGCTCGCAACACAGGCTTACAGGGATCTCAGCTGAGCCGGCAGGAACAGATGCTGAAGGTTCATAACATCTGCTCGGCAGATATGGACCTGCGGTTCCAGGTCCTCGAGACCACCAGCTACAACGGTGTGCTGATCTGGAAGATCCATGACTACAAGTGCCGGAAGCAGGAGGCTGTCACGGGAAAGACCCTGTCCTTCTACAGCCAGCCTTTCTACACAGGCTATTTTGGCTGTAAGATGTGTGCCAGGGTCTACCTGAACGGGGACGGAATAGGGAAAGGGACACGTTTGTCTCTGTTCCTTGTCATTATGCGTAGAGAATATGATGCTTTGTCGGCACGGCCATTCAAGCAGAAAGTGACATTCCTGCTGATGGACCAGGGGTCCTCCCGATGTCATCTGGGAGATGCGTTCAAGCCTGATCCCAAGAGCAGCAGCTTCAAGAAACCCACTGGAGAGATGACTATTGCCTCTGGCTGCCCACTCTTTGTCATCCAAACTGTTCTAGAGAATGGGACATATATTAAAGATGATAAAATTCTTATTAAAGTCATACTGGATACTTGGGATCTGCCTGACCCCTGACAAGTAACTGGGGAGGTGGATTCAGCAGGAGGTAACTCTGAGGTCCTCGCCCTCAGAAAGCACCATGTGGAACAGGGAAAGCACCCAGAGGAGGAGCATGCGTGGCTGGCAGGAGAAGCCACACGTCGAAACAGACCCCAACGGATTTCCTAATAGACTAGCCATACTCACTCTGAAGAATTATTTATCCTTCAAGAGATAAATATTGTTGTCAGAGAAGGTTGTCATTTTTAAAGATCTAGTTAATTAAGGTGGAAACATATATGCTAAAAAGAAACATGGTTCTTCTTCCTTAACTTGAACACCAGAAAAGAAAACACACGTGGATGAACCTTCTCCAAAATTGACCACATACTCGGAAACAAAGGAAACCTCCACAGATACAAAAAAATATCAGTGTCCACCTGTGTCTTATCAGATCACCACGGATTAAAGTTAGAATTCAACAACAATCCTACCTCCAGAAAGCCGACAAACTCATGGAAACTGAACAGTCAACTACTGAACCACACCTGGGTCAAGGAAGAAATCAAGAAAGAAATTAAAGTCTTCCTTGAATTTAATGAAAATAAAGGGACAACATACTCAAACCTATGGGACACTATGAAAGCAGTGCTAAGAGGAAAGTTCATAGCACTAAGTGCCCACTTAAAGAAAACAGAGAAAGCATACATCGAAGACTTAACAGCACACCTGAAAGCTTTAGAAAAAAAAGAAGGAGGCACGCCCAGGAGGAGTAGAAGACTGGAAATAATCAAACTGAGGGCAGAAATCAACAAAATAGAAACGCAGAAAACAGTCCAAAGAATCAATGAAACAAAAAGTTGGTTCTTGGAGAAAATCAACAAGATCGACAAACCCCTATCCAAACTAATTAAACGACAGAGAGAGAACACGCAAATAAATAAGATCAGAAATGAAAAGGGGGACATAACCACAGACACAGAGGAAATTCAGAGAATCATTAGATCTTACTACAAAAGCCTGTATGCCACAAAACTAGAAAATGCAAAATAAATGGACATGTTTTTAGATAAGTGCCACATACCAAAGCTAAACCAAAACCAGGTGAACGATCTAAATAGACCTGTTAGTCGTGAAGAACTAGAAACCGTTATCAAAAATCTACCTTCCAAAAAAAGCCCAGGACCAGATGGTTTCAATGCAGAATTCTACCAGAACTTCCAAGAAGAGCTAATACCTATACTCCTTAATGTATTTCACAATATAGAAACAGAAGAGTCATTGCCAAATTCCTTTTATGAAGCTACAGTTACCCTGATACCAAAACCACACAAAGACCCAACCAAGAAAGAGAATTACAGACCTATCTCACTCATGAACATCGACGCAAAAATTCTCAATAAAATACTGGCAAACCGAATCCAAGAACACATTAGAAAAATTATCCATTATGATCAAGTAGGCTTCATCCCAGAGATGCAGGGCTGGTTCAACATACGCAAATCTATCAATGTAATCCAGCATATAAATAAACTGAAAGAAAAAAACCATATGATCATTTCATTAGATGCTGAAAAAGCATTTGACAAAATTCAACACCCCTTTATGATAAAAGTCTTGGAGAGATTAGGGATACAAGGGTCATACCTAAATATAATAAAAGCTATTTACAGCAAGCCGTCAGCTAACATTAAATTAAATGGAGAAAAACTCAAAGCCATCCCACTAAAATCAGGAACACGACAAGGATGTCCACTCTCTCCATACCTCTTCAATATAGTGCTTGAAGTTCTAGCAATAGCAATAAGACAACATAAAGGGATCAAGGGGATTCATATCGGAAAAGAAGAAGTTAAGCTCTCGTTATTTGCAGATGATATGATAGTATACATAAGCGACCCCAAAAACTCTACCAAAGAACTCCTACAGCTGATAAACACCTTTAGTAATGTGGCAGGATACAAGATCAACTCCAAGAAATCAGTGGCCTTCCTATACACTAAGGATAAGGAAATAGAGAGGGAAATTAGAGAAGCATCACCTTTCACGATAGCCACAAATAGCATAAAATATCTTGGGGTAACTCTGACCAAGGATGTGAAAGATCTATTTGACAAGAACTTTAAGTCTTTGAAGAAAGAAATTGAAGAGGACACCAGAAAATGGAAAGATCTTCCTTGCTCCTGGATTGGGAGGATCAACATAGTAAAAATGGCAATTCTACCAAAAGCAATCTATAGATTCAATGCAATCCCCATCAAAATCCCATCAAAATTCTTCACAGATCTGGAGAAGACAATAACCAACTTTATATGGAAAAACAAAAAACCCAGGATAGCCAAAACAATCTTATACAACAAAGGAGCGTCTGGAGGCATTACAATCCCTGACTTCAAACTCTACTACAGAGCTACAGTATTGAAAACAGCTTGGTATTGGCATAAAAACAGAGAAGTCGACCAATGGAATCGAATAGAAAACCCTGACATTAACCCACAAACCTATGAACACCTGATTTTCGATAAAGGAGCTAAAAGTATACAATGGAAAAAAGAGAGCATCTTCAACAAATTGTGCTGGCAAAACTGGATGCCAATCTGTAGAAGAATGAAAATAGATCCATATCTATCACCATGCACAAAACTCAAGTCCAAATGGATTAAAGACCTCAATATCAGTCCGAACACACTGAACCTGATAGAAGAGAAAGTGGGAAGTACTCTACAACACATGGGCACAGGAGACCACTTCTTACGTACAACCCCAGCAGCACAGACATTAAGGACCTCATTGAATAAATGGGACCTCCTGAGACTGAGAAGCTTCTGTAAAGCAAAGGACACTGTCGCTAAGACACAAAGGCAACCCACTAACTGGGA